ATTTTGATAATAAATTTTTGCTCTTAGAGGTAATAAAATCTGCATATATACTAAAGTAGAAAGAATCCCATAGAACTAGTTCAAAGAATATTTTAAAATCTTGTACATGTGTAGAAAACAACCAAGAAAGAAGAGAGGGGAAAAAAAAAAAAAAAAAAAAAAAAAAAATGAACAGAAACTAAAGTACGAATTGGGGAGAATGTACTTAAGAAACTGGGGGAATCGTTCAATGGAACTTCAATCCATCCCAAAGATGTGTATGAGGCACTCGAACCTGGAGCATTGAAATAAAGCCTCCAGTATTGATGTTTAAAAACAACTCAAAATTAAATTCAAGCAAAGGTTACGCAGATGCTGAAGTTAGTCCAGGTTCCAGAATTAAAAGAAGCATGAGATGCCATCGGCGATGGAAGCGGTTTGCTCTGACAAGATTCTGAGAGTTCATCTCATTTTGGGGAAAAACTACTGCCTAATCTTAGATTTGAATCTACCGATCCCACCAGCAGCACAGCAACGCCAGGGTGTCGTTGAATTGGTTGGATGAGAATTTCCCTGTACAGTCGGGCTACTGACATATGTTCCACTTGAGCATGCAATAACGTTTTCATGTAAAAATAGTCATTGCAGTGGAATCTCGTTAATACGAAATGAAAAACCAACCACTGTCGGTAAAATTCTGTCGGCGATTCTAACATCGGAAGCTTGCCGAAATTGTAGCTTCCATAAAATATTAGTGCTGAAACGGGTATAGTCCGTTTTTAACGCATCCTTTCGTGGCAAGCACTGAGGATCCGCGCTTCGCTCAAGTACACGCATACAATCACGGCATCATATTCGAGTAAAGCAAGGTGGATGCGTCTGTGAGGAGCTTGCACAGCAGTTTTGCAGCGGAGACATGAAATTTAGAAGGTGCTGGACCATGGAAGGTGAGCTGTAATGGATTCCTCGGGAGGACCCACCTCGGCGTTGAAAACTTTGCACCCTTACCATAGTTTTTTCTATACTTTATGGAAAACTATTCACGAGAATCTGGTTTCTTCAACGAACCATAGTTTGATGTCATCAATATAGCAGCCAATTATCACAATTCTTAAGCTATTATTTTCTTTAAAGTATTTTTCCTTTCCTCATTCATTGACAGCGGCCGATTCCCAAGTCAACGAAGAAACCAAAAGTTACTGTTGTGTCCATTTATAGTGTGTCGCTGATTAGATGAAATTTTTTAGAGTTGATCACAACAGCTTCAAAGTTCTCATATGGTGAAAAGTGTAAAACAACACAGATGCTCTCAATATTCACTCCGTCTTGAAAGTATTGTAGCTCAGAAATTCTAATGAGTTGAACTCGCTGTTCAAGTGAACTCAAGTGAACTCGTCTGTTCAAGTTTAGTTGAATTCGTCTGTTGAAGTGTTCAAGACAATCCTAATACGAGGACAATGAAAGAAACAAAGTTCTGGCTCAGACTATCTATCCACACAAACACAAATAAATAAATGTAAAAATATATATACACACACACAACACATATTCCCATTTAGATATAAAATGTAGAATCTTTTACCAAGGAATGAATCATGTGGGGATTTGTGAGCATTTATGAAAGGTTTTGGGGAAGGGGGGGAGACCAGTCATATGCAACGCCAGCGCACCGAGTGTCACGCCAGGTCAGTAAGAATCATGAGGAGCACACGTTGATCAGGAAATCACGCTGCCACCCTGGCATCGACCTGGGACTCAATGATAGGGGCTCTATGGTCTTGCTGGCACTCCCCTTTCTGACAGGTCAGACACAGCTCCCCTCCCCTCCCCTCCTTCTGTCCATTTGGAAGTGCCACTCCCTCTTGCAAGTACCTTTTTCTTTATCGCCTCACTCGGTACTTTCCCCGCCACGGTGAAAGGTCGCCCCGGCTAACAGCGACAGTGGGACGCGGTCCCATACCCGATCCTATCTCCTCCCATCGCCTCAGCCGCACTACTTTATCACTACTCGCAATCGTGAAAGTTGATGCTGTCCCATTGTTCATTGTTGTCGATCCCAGTGTTACCATCGCACGTCTCTGGGGAATTACCTTCGCATCATGCTCTACAGTGTTTTTACCGTACATGAAAGTACTCGTCTCGTCGTTTTTCTAGGTACAAAGAGGACTTTATTTTATATATATATATATATATATATACATACATGTTTTTTTTATCAATGAATTTGCTGGGTGCTTATCAAATGGATTCGAGCATAGAAAACAAAAATTGCCGACGTATTATTTTAAGTTTTTCGTGGAAGGACTGGTTATCTTCTACAATGTCGTTTCAGAGAGAGCTTCATTGCTGTTGACAATATGTATATATATATATATATATATATGTGTGTGTGTATGCATGTGAATGTGTGTGTGGAATAAACAGAATAAATTCCATCTCTTGGATCTACATCGAGTGACACAATGCAACTCAGATCAATGGCACTTGTCGTAATAAAGTACAAATTTATTAAAATTTGTTGTAGCATCATACTAACAATATCCTGGGTTTTGGGTTAATGCAAAGAGTCTTAGAAATAAGCTGCAGTTGTTACGGTGAGCGGAATGCGAAGTGAGTGCTGAGCTTGGGGAACCTGTTCCTCAAGAGTTGGTACAATGTTGACAAGGTTCGCATGGGAGCTGGGAACAAGTTGGTGGGGGTGGGGAACAAAATTGGAAGCTGGAGAGCAAAAGAATGCCGATTGTGGGGAAAAGGATCCGGAACGGGCGAGGATGGGAGGCGGCTTGCTAAGCCCCCCGCGGGTGTGGGGGATCTGGCTCTTCCCCTTCCCCTTCCCACCTGGTAACTGCGGCATCAAATGGGCTCGGATCCTCGCGCCCGAAACCCGTCCCCCCCCCCCCCCCCCCCCCCACTCCCTGTTTACTAAAGCCTCTCTCTACCCAAGCACTTGGCATTCTCACTTCGTCGCTGATTCCCTTCTCGCGTACTGTATTGCTCAGCAGCACCGAGATCTATCGAGCGTCTCTCTGACATCTCTCTGCCGTCTTCCGCTGCACTCGTGCATTGATCGAGCTTCAAACTTCTGCACTTCGCTTACTCGATTTCCGCTTTCCGCAGCACTCATTCTTTAAAGCTTCATCGATTAGGTGCTTGATTCTGCAGAGTTTTTGAAATGGCTTTCTCAGCTGTGAAGAGGGCTGCCGTCGTTGCTGTTGTCGTAGTTTCTACCATGGCATCCTCTGCCATGGCCCAGGCCCAGGCCCCTGCTCCCGCAGGGCAGGATTCCGGCGTCGGCTCAGTCGTGCCAACCATGGTTGCGCCGGTTGTTGGCTGCGTCGTTGCCTTCGTTGCTGCTAAGTTGTTGTAAGATGGAGGAAGGAGAAAGCTGTTGTTGTTGGATCTGATGGAAAGATTTCGGTCGACGTGAAGCGGAGCGTCTCCGTGTTGGCGAACAGGGGAATGGCCGATGGATTGGGTTTTAGGAAGAACTAGAGGGCGAGGTGCTTTTTACAGAGGTAATGAAGAGTATTTCTCAGATGTAATAACGATCCATGAAGATCGTAAAGTGGACTTTTGTGGCGGTGAGCTGCAGCGGGTGACTGGAGTGGGAACGAGAACCTGGAGTTGCACGATGCAGTTTTCTAGGCGATCGTAACTGTAGCCGAAGTACTCATGAAAATGTATTAAGTCTTTAGGGTAGTTTCTGTGCTTATATTTGCACTCTTAGATCTAAGCTATCGGATTATTCATTTCCAATTGAAACGAAGAATTTGTTTTCCCTCTCACCATACAGAAATTTCAGGACTTTTACCGTGAGGGAAGTATTTTTATTACTTTTGAAATTTTATGTGCAGTTACTCGTTGCTATGATTGATTTGAAAAGTACATACAGCGAGGAAATTATAGTTGCGCATTATCGCAAGGATGCTCCTTTTGTGTCGTCTGCTCCGCTTGATTACCTCGTGGCTTTGATGATCATGCCCGGATCGTGAACTATGTATGCAATGTATGGTCTGGAACACGTATCTCTGTGACAATCTCATTTCAAGGGACAGTTATTGCACCGTATCGCATGATATTTCTCTGACAAGTTAGTTGTAGACATGCCCGAACACGATTCTTGCTTATTGATTATTCTTTACATGAACTTTTTACATATCTGGCAGAATCGAACATGTCTGCATAATTTCAACCTGAAATACTTCACTCTCTTGCGTCCATTTCCTTTCTTGTGAGAGATGTCAGCACATTTTCTATGATTTTTGCCGTGGAACTTAGAAATCTGCCCACTTATATTCTTCCAAGAAATAGTGAACTGACTGTAACCATAATGCCCACAGGAGCAGCAGTGTAATCTGCCTGCTGTTGTGTGTTTTATCACCACAGATTTGTTGTCAGGCATGACGTATGTCGTAAGTAATGAAGTGACTTAAACGACGGCTCTATTGAGAGGGCGAAGAAAGTGTGGACTAGAAGATTTGACTCCATGGACAAGATGCATGGTGTTTGCTGAGGAGGTGATCATATGGTAGATTTTACTTTAGTCCTATGTGATATTGTCGATGGCTGTGCGATGCGTGTTTTGTAGCCTTGGCGTGTTTTATTATATGATGGCAACTGATCTTAGTAGATCATTTTGGCTTGAAGAATAGCACCGTGTGCATAGTAGGTGCTGGTGAGTACTCGAAGGCCCGTTGACGTTGCATGTAATTGTGTAAAGTTGTTTCCATGTTAAACAGGTGTTTCCACCCATACTAAGTTTGGATAGAATTGCAGCCTCTTAGTCATTTCTAACTGTAAAGAGCCGAAGTTGCGAAAGATGCGGAACGAGAAGAGGTATGCTAATTTCAGTTTTTCAAAACAATTTTGACTAGAGTTTACACAAGAATCAGACCAGGTACGGAGATATAAATTTTTCAGTCCATCGAGAGATACCAAAGTATCAAAGAGATAGTAGGCTTGAATACAGTGATTCTCATGTATACTACTTTTCGGCCTTGTGTGGTTCATCATGCCTGTTTGTTCAGTAATATACGTACTTCTGTTCGTTTTGTTCAGCTGGAGCGGAGAAAAGAGTAAGTCCAAACCATATTGGAATATATCACAATGATGTTAAGAAGAACATTGTTCCACGAAGTGGAACTGAAAGAACGATTTGATGCAGAAACTCATCGCAATGCACAGCTCCTAACTAAGTATGAACTATATCAAGGTAAAGGAGCACGACCGTTTCTTCATCAGAAGTACACATTTTGTCAAGGACATAAATTTGTAGGTGAGTGGTTATTCTAGTTCTTTTGTGCTGATGATGATGCTTTTCGCAGTCTACACAGGACAGGTGTCCAGAAGATGACGATGTTGATGCCGAATGCGACTGTTTGGCCTTATGAACGAATCATATTGCCAAGACTTCTTGTGTGAATATTGTACCTTTGTTTTCATTGTCAATGGCCTTGATCTAGTATACAACTTATCCATTGATCCGCTTTCAGCCCTAGGAGATTTCAAACAAAAATGTGCGTCTCTTTCACCTGATTATACGTGAGAGTGACATGAATGTTATATTTATGATGTAAACCAAAATTGGCAATTCACTGCGCATTGAGTTTTACATGAACCGTTGAGCTTCCTAGCAAAAGAGTCCGAAATCTGGGTTACCTTGACAGCTGCAGCCCCAGTGGCTTCGATTGAAGCAGCGAGTATTGTGAGGGATGGTGATGCTGCCCATACGGATGGTTTTGCTAGTACATGTCACCAAGATTCTTTGGACCATACAGAGAATTTGTGGACTTGCTGCGACTCAATTCACTCAAATCTATTATGGATATGTCTCCCTTTGACCAGTGTTGCTTTTTTAAGATGCACATTCAAGAATGCAGGGAGTTCATACCATTTGTGAGGTAATTTCTTATCATGATGTAATCACCTTTACAAACAGAGCTTGAACAGTTCTAAAGTTCTACTTCTTTTCTATTGTAGAAAACATAGTAGTAGAGCATTGTTGTTGTAAAGAGAGTTTGTTTCAAGAAAGTGCTAGGCCTTTAGCTACTACTAATTGCTCAAACAAGTTTTTAAAACACAAATATTATTTATAGCTTGTCTTCAAGAAGACAATTATATCAAGTATAGAAGTTTATGATGCATAAAAGTACCTAATATGTGACTAGATATCTTAACATCACTTCTACTCCTATAGAGATTCTTTCCATATATGCAACACATAATAACTTACAATCTAACTATCTAAGGGGATTCAAAATTCTCTGCAAGTTAACTCATATACTTGACTATTTTTACACAAAAATCAACAATAAATTCATTACAAGTCTTAAGATATTGCCTCATTTCTAGTAGGTGCTAAACATGTCAAATTTTAAGCATCTGAGCACTAAATCCACCATATCTCAAAAATCCAACATTCAAATACTATAAATTTTTTATATAAAACTTCTTAACATAGTCTTGTATACTTATGGAAATTTTGAGCCAAAATTTCATTCAAAAACTCAAGATATGGCTCAAATCAAAACCTCTATGAAAAGAATTTACTTACAAATTCTAATTTTTAAGTATTAACTTTCTAGAGTTCTTTTTTCTTTATTTCAAATTGATATATATTAATTTCTTTATATTTAATGTAATTCTTCAATTCAAATTTCAAATTTTACTTTTTGATTATTGAATGCCTTCTTACAACTCTCTTATACTTAAAAGAATAATAGTAGGTATCAAACTTACATCCGTAAATAACCATATCTCTCTCATTAAAACTCTAAATCATATATTTTTTTAAATCTAACTTTTAGTCCAAAATACAAGCTTTTTGAATCCAAACTCTAAACTTCAAATAGATTGCCTTGCCTCAAATGAGTTGCCCTAAAGTGGTCCCAAATTCTAGTGTGGTCCCAAGTAACATCTCAAAGCCCATTGAACATAACTTTCAACCAATCGAAATAAAGTCCTCTATCACTCACCTTATCTATCCACATGGAATGGCTTAGGAATCAAAATATTATATTTTTGACATCAAAGCCACTTTAAATTCTTTCTTCTTAAATCTTACAATTTCTAACTTTAATTACAAAATTTAAACTATAAACTTAAATAAATTAGATAAATATTTTATTTTATTTTATTTTATTTTTAATTAAAATCTAAAATTTTATAATATTTTATATTATTTTTATATATTATATTACTTTCAAATACGAAAGTACATGATGCATAAATTTTTCTTTCTATAAATCTTCTGTTTTTAATTTTGTGAAATAATTTACTTTATTAGGTTTCTTCTTTAAGTTTTGTTTTATATTATCCTATTTTTAATTAAATCAAGTAGATATTTGAAATCTTTTTATTCTCTTATTTGATTTAATATTCATAATTAAACCTCTTTTTCTTACTTTGTACAATGTAATCAACATCATATATGATAGTATGTCAAGGCTATATATTACTACATATCTCCTTATTTATTGTTAATAGTATTAAGTTGTCATGCTTGATAGAGTATTTGTGAACTCAATGGAATGCTTAATATTTTAAAGTATATTATGATTTTAAAAATTGTCACTTTGCAGAAAGCCCTTGAAAGAAAAATAACTCAATTTGACTTCATTTTGCTCCTTATAAGTTTTCAATTATCATCATGTGCAATAGAATCTTATATAAGGAAATTTTCAATACATTCTTCTTGATTTTTTATGAGAATAGAGGAGATATAGAAATATTTATGGTTGATTGATTTATTTTTATTTTAAAATCAACATCACTATTGTGGACTATTGGATGGACTTATCAATATGAATACATATCACAATACTATATTTGTGATATACGTGGATCTTTGAATAGAAATAATTATAAAGCAACCTAATTAGAAATATGTGTTGACTTTGCTAGCCACATGTCTTAACTTGCAAGATAAGTTATCCATGTATGTACCACATAATTAGCTTATTTCACAAGCTACTATATGGAGTTAACTTGTTCCACAAGCTACCAATATGTGGTTAAGTTGTTGGCTAAGTTTCTAACCTACAAATACATCTAAAGTCAAAACTATGTCTATAAAGCTTCTAAAAAGTTACTCTAAAAGAATTGATGAAATTGATCTATATTTACCTACTTCTACCTAATCATATAAGTAATTATTGGAATAAATATATATGTTTGTGGCAATAAGCTATAGATTGATTCAAATAGTGGTTGAGTTCCTTCTTGAAAATCAATTGAATAATCTTAGGATGAATGCTTTGGAAGAATATTTGTATTATTATTTTTTTTTTTTTCAAAAATAGCTTAAAAATCTTGATACTAGCTATGAATACTACTTGGTATCTTTTTATTATTAAAAATAAAAATGATATATATAAAATAAAAAAATGATCATTCTTTTGTTGTAGTAATGAAAGCTTTTGCACCTATTAGTAAGCATTTGTATATATTAGATTTATGTATTTTTACTTGACTATTAGAATTTTAGATGAAACCACAAGAAAAGTTAAGATTATAATATCTTCTTATAATATGATATCATATTATGTATTGTCTTATTTGAGAATGCACTAGACACCTAACTGTGAAAGATAAAATTATGTTTTAGAAATATCTAAGAAATCCTAATAGGTTTTATCCATATAAAAATAATGGAATTCGAATTTCAATTTAAAAGTACTTAAAGCTAATATAAAGTGCTCAAAAATAATCTTCTTAATAATTACAATTATATATAAACTCCAATTGCTTTATTACTTTTATAATTAGAAAATTACGATTTCTCTTTACAAGCCCTAATCCTAATCAATGAGCTTCAAGAAGTTATAACTCTTAATTTGACCATCCACTTGATGCAAAAAAAATTACATAAATACCAATATAAGACTTCTACATACTTAAAAAAATTCATTCCAATCCAACTTACAAATTGTGAAAAATTTCCAAAAAATCGCACTGATTTCACTTGACTTCTAATTCAAAAGTTGATGGAGATGTTCTAGTAGCAATTTTTCTTCTTTAACTATTAACTTAAGCTCAAAATTAATATATAGCTTGATCTTTAAGTCTTCTAATATTATGCCAAATTTTACCTTAATCTAGCTAATAGATCTACAAATATCATAAAAACCTTACTTAACTTTAAATGTCTTGAATTATTATTGAATCAAGATAATTAAATATTATTTAGAAATTTATTTTTGATTATATTTTCACCATATAATTGTATTACAATACAACAATATTTAATAGGTGAAAGAATGAAGAAATATTAAATTATAGAAGATCTTATTTTAAAATATTATAAAAAATTATCATATAAATATAAATAATAGTCAAAATATAGTAAAACTAAAAACAAAAATACTATCTTTTTATAAAGTGGACTTCTACTTACTTTATAGGACCATAATCAAGATAAAATAAGATAGATTAGAAAAATAAAGAATATATACATATATTGTGATTATCGTTTTACTTATTCTACAATTCTTTTCAAAATAAACCTGTATAGGGGCATTCGAACACAGGGAAAGACTAAGTGCATAAGTTTTACTTATTAAGGTCACACAATTAACTGCATTTCAAACCACTAAAATACTAAGAAACATTACGATGTTTTCTCCCAGTAACAATACTCCTTCATCAACTGATAACAACAATGTGCAACCTTGCAGTCTCGAAAGACTGCTTAAAACATAATAATTTCCATCCAATACCAAGAATAACAGATTTCACTCCAACCAATCTGAATTCATAGAGTTTTTATAATCACCAACTTCCTTTGTCCAAACACACACAACTCTCAATAAACAACAATCATAATCTTTCAATAACTCCTCATATAATTCAATCACTTAATACTCCAATTACATAATCAATAACTCATAAATCAATCTTTGATTTATTCCATAGACTCACTTCTCAGTATTCAAAAACTATCCATTACTCTTCAACAACAAAGAAAACAAAGAAACAAAGAGATAACACCAAGCTTACCTCGGCTCATGACTATCACAATCTGTTCCCCCAACAAACTTCTACAACTCCTATATAATTCTTCCTGATTTCCAGATTCTAATCATTGTCGTGTTGTTGTTCGGCTACTATATGAAAATAATGTAATTATGTACTTAATATATAATTCATTAAGTAATATGGTGAGAGCCATATTAGTAGATTTTAGTTGGTTGTAGAATATAATTTGATTATTACTTTGAGAAGAGGTTGTTTAAAAAGATTACTATAGAATTTGTATAATTTTAATTTTTTTTTTGATAGTAGCTTTTAAGATTGGTTTTGGTTGATAGTAACTTCTAAATATTTAGAGTCACCTTTGTTAGACATTGGTGATATTTGAAAACTTATTTTGGTTCTTTTATTTGGTGTTTAGAGCATACATTATGTAAATCTTATAAGAAAAAAGATTGAAGAAGGATTTTGGTAGCAAAGGGAGTAATTAGGGCACCAATATAGATGAATGGAGATGAAAAATAAAAATCTCCATTCCTATTGGTCAAAAATCATGACCAATGGGCTTTGAGGAGGCTGCCCGAGGCCATAATAGGGATTAGGGTTAGTTTCTCGAAGCTATTCGGATTTTGAAGGCTAGGGTCACAAGGTTTAGGTTTTTGACTATGGTTTTGGTGCAAGTTTTGTGTCATTTGGGGTTATTATGAAGAAGTTATAGGCACTCAAAGTTAAGGTGTTAGTTTTGGACCTACTGTCACTCTTTTGGGCATAACGCGTGCACACAGACAGAAATTGAAGATCGCCAACTGCGACTGGAGAGAGCACTTTTGCGGCTATACTTTTCACATACTGCTTACTGGATTTCAAGTTGGCATGAAGGAGTTATTGGATTTTGAAGTCAGCACATGCAATCTAAGGGTAGTAAGTAAACCGATTTATTAGTGGTTGTCTCTTGAGCTATATCTTGAGCAATTTGATAAGGTTTTGGCTCAAAATTTCAGGAAATGTGTAATTTCATATTAATAAACTTTGTGCATAAGTTTTTTTGACATTTGGAGTTTTTTTTTTTTTTTTTTGAGATATAAGGAAAATAGTTTTTTGGATGCTTGTAAATTAGGGTTT